TTCATTCTGATACACTGTAATTATCAGTTTTTGCACATTTGTCACCAAGCCTTGGTCCTGCAGTTCTTTGGCTAGTTTCTTCGAGTTGGTCGCTTTCAAATCTTTATTAATTGTTTTATAATACAGGATAATTAAAAAGAAACGTCTACAAATTGTCACCATATTTACATTTCACTCCTCCATCTGGAATGCTGTGGCTCCCCCCTCAAACTGAACTTCTGCGATTGCTTGTTGATTGTTCATTTCTGGAGGCCTTCTCCATCCGCAACCTGAAGACGCGCTATGCCGGGGTGACAAGGGGCCCACAATAAACGGGTTTCTGTCGCTTACTGCTTCATTTGTTGACAGCGGCGTTAAATAACGTGGGAACTAATGACGGTATCAATGTTCGTTGTGTCGAATACGTTGAATATCGTAGTGAGCCCTCGGAAAACAGCGGTATGCAGAGAATCATGGCAGTGGGAATGTCTCATTGGCCGATTTGGCGATGACTTCATGCAGCTTGAGGCGCTGTGTGGGGCGGCGGGGATCAAGGACGCCGGGTGAGGAGCATTCCACTAGAGTACAGTCGTGTCAGAGCGCGAGTTATCGTGTTCTGATTTTACTGCACGAAGGCCCAAAACCATAATGAAAAATTTGATTATCTTGATCTCCTTTACAAAAGATAAGTTGGTGATTTGTTGGGAAAACAAAAACTTAAACTCTGATGCCTTGTAGAAACTTAGCGCATACCAACAACATTGTGGAAAAAAACCTGAAAGCGATTAATTCAAAACTTTCTGAACCGACCGCTAGGTGCCATTCTAGTAAGCGTAAACACATCTACTCATGTTACAGCACTTGGAAACCGGTCACAACAGCAACGTAACAATACTAGTGCATCGCAGCGGCATCTGGATACCGTAGGTTAGAGAAACAGACCAGGAAGACAGTAACAGTATCAGTAATCATCAAGACACTGACTACGTGATGCCACTCTTGTCGTCATGGGTGTTCCTTTGTTGGAGTTTACTACTAATGAGGGCGCTTGTATCTTTCGGGTACTGGCATTTATTTCAGTGTTAGGTTGACAATGAATGAAAAAGTAGACAAAATCGGACAAACGTGCAAAACAATAGAGAATATTACTATGGCTATGCGTGCTGTGTAAAGCGGTTCCTTTTGGCCATGCAGAAACAGTCAAGCAGACATACGACGTAGCAACGAACCAGAAACCCACATTTAAACCTCCAGTGAATATGCTACACTGACAAACTGAAATAAGTAGCACAACCTTAGAACAATTTGTAAACGTCCTTCTGATATTTGAGCCAAATATGGTGGATAATCAAGTTAATTAAGGAGATGTTAGTAGATAAAAATAAATTAGATAATAGTGTGGCAATAACGCATGGAGAAAATGCTGACAGGGCTTTCGAGGTGTTTGCACCATGTAACATATGTCGTTGCTACAGGATGTACTAACATACTAGAAATGTAACATCGTGTGACATGGAATGTTGTAGGTTACTATAAAATACAGAGGGTCCAAGAAGAACATACCCAAACTTGACTTTCATGCCATCGCCAGGGTAATCAGTACAGCAGTAACGAAGCACTGAAATCTGACAAGGATGAACAGTACAGATCATGTTTATTTATTTATTATGCGACCTTTGCACGAAGTGCATAGAGAGGACGCATTATGGGCTGGACGTGTCTGTCTCTCCGTCCGTCCAATCGATTAAACTCGAGAACCACTGGGCAGATTTGAATGAAATTTTTTGGTGGATGCAATTCTGCACGATCTCAAAATCGTGCCTTATCCTACGAGCCGTGATAAAAAATGACTGAGAAAAGTCGTGAGGTAAGTGGGAACTATCGAACAGTACCTCGAAATGCCTCTTAATGCACGTTGCAAAGAACGCGGGAGGATATTGTGTGTATATTCCGATATGGAATGTGCTTTACGAGTTTGTTTAACTACGTTCCGACAATGTCGAATAACAGGTTGGGTTAGTAAGTCGGATTGGAATGGACGTGGACGAAAGCGGTCGTGTCATGGTTTGAGGTGTTGCCTAGAGGGACTGAGGAAAGCCACAAAGGTCATGTCAGATTAGTTGGTATCCGGGCCGACATTTAAACCTCTCGGATACGAAGTGGGAATACTAACCACTCGGCCGTGATGGCTAGTCAGCGAAACGAACATATGCAGTATTATTCATGTGAAATGTAATGAACAGATCAGAACAGCGCGAGTTTCAGAATGGACAGAGTAGCATTGAAAGGGCGTGAACATAAAATAGCGCCGGTGACATCGAACAGTTGGCATTTGGGTCTAATGCCAACCAAGTTCCCTGCAGGTTCCTAACAAACCGAGCGAGCAGAGTAGTTGGGTGTATGCGGACAATAAATTGATTTCAGCTCAAAGCGAAACGTGGCAAGAAATTGTGCAAGACCTAGAAACCTATTCAGTAAATAACAGAAATAGATGTGACGTACTGTAATTATTCTAGTAGGCAGAGTGTAATCCAAGTGGCATTCGCACGCTGGAGACTCCACCTGAGCTACAACTTTGTTTTTATAAATTACCGAGATGAAATATTTATTCGTTATGTTAGACAGGAAACTGTTTCAACCGCACATAAATTCTGCATTGGTTAAAAAGCTCGTTTCCTGTGGATAAAGTACACTTTTACCTGCGACGTCGGGGTATCTAGAATTAACTTCTACCGGTGTGGAGCTGGGCGGCCGTCGTTATATGGAAATACTTAATGTTTTAACGACGTAACGAAATTCAGCAGTACCAAAGATATGGCATAAATATCTCTGGAATTAAGAGTATCCAGACCCAGCCTTGAGATGATAATGCGACCCGACTAAGGCCCAGTAATCCTCGGTTTTGGACTTAAACATGTTTATCTCCGTGTCAGCATCAGATGGGCTACAGTAATTAATTGTTAACACGTCGCAATATACCAAATCTAGTCCACCTTATAATTCTGAATTAAGGATATAAAGTAACTTAAAATGCACACGTTTTAGTTAAAATAAACTTCATTGTGTTTTAACGTGGAAGGTTGCCTAAGGCGTTATGAAATACAATATGCCTCCATAGTATATTTCCAGCATGGCTGGTTATTTCTCTTCTCACGCCATCTTGCTTCTCAAGGCCTCGTCAATTAGTTACGCTTGGCTCCTGCGGGTACTGGAGGAGATTAAGGAGTTTACGAAACCAGCATGGAGTGTGGCGTCATAAAATGAAAATTTTCATTTTAATAATCTCAACCTTCTGCCCCCCTTCCCAAATTCAAAACCGTTCTGACGTCTGTTTACCATTTCGTCATCACGAATTTTATAGTTCTGGATCGAATATGTAAATTATAAGATTTCTTTTAAGACTTGTTAAAATATAATTGAATGCATTGGAATAAAGAGGGCACATGTCACAAAACAAGCATTTTAGCAAAGTGGAAAAATTATGTAATCCATTATGGTGTTAAAAAATCTAGTATCACTGTTCATTAGTTGCAGTTAGCAATATTCAGTTACCACGGTTTCTTTATCATTAATAGCCCAAGTAATTTTTGTTTTCAATGTATGCCCTGTAAGTGTTCTTCTGAAGTATAAACTTTTTTGGGGGGGTGGGGGTGGTTCAAAGTCCCTGTCACAGAGTCCTCTGACAGATTGAAAGATGTTGAGAATCTCCTATTAGCAGCTAACATTGAAGTATGGTTTCTGTTTTGGCCATGATGGCAGCCGGAGGAGTATGCAGTTTCTTGATAGTTTCAGGTGTGTGGTTGGGAATGTAATTAAGTAACAAGGAACATTTTTTGTTGTGTCCTCTAATTTGCCCTTCAAGATACAGATACAATGTGACTTATTTTAGGTTATTTATTCCAAATGCATGTACCCAGATTTGGTGAAAATAAAATATCCCTTGCTGTGTTGTGTGGGAGCAGTAGATTTTATGGTTTCTAGTTAAAATTATAGTTGTTTGACTTAACCACCAAAACACAGCTGTAATCTTGTATATGTCATAAAAACTAGAACTTTCATAAATGTCAAATCAGTGACATGTCACATTCTCAGTTTGTGAAAGAATGATGGACTCCAACAAGCTATATCTGAGTGGGATACGTGATGTTTTCATGCAGGTTTATTGGTCAGCACTTAAAGGTATTCCTCAAAGAAACACAATATTGGAAAAAATACTGACATATGCCTTTTTCATTCCCTTGCATTCATATATGAAAGTTGCCTCATTTGCGAATTTGTAGACTCATAGTTTCTTTTTTCGCGCACGCGCACAAACAAACAATTAACATTATGTCATGCTGCTTGATTTTGACTACAGGTTTTTGCAGACTGAATCCTAATATAAACTGTCTTTGATGGTGCTACACAATTACATTAGATAAATTATTCCCTCCCTCCCCTATTCTCACTAATACCTTCCTAGTTTTTTTTTTAAATTTATATCTGGCTTTATCGAAGTATTCTTCCGTATTCCATAATTCTACAACCTTATTACATTTTATAATTCTGTTACAAGTTCCTCAGTTGCTAATAATAAATCATTTCCTACTAGAAATAAATTGTTCCATGTCACACAGCTGTAAATATGGTGAAGGCCATCTGAACAGACAGATGCCTCAGTATACCAATGGGTTAATGACCTATAAGTGGAAAATTTAGGATATTGTGTTTTTTTTTATCACCTCAGGCCCTTGAAACAAATGTTGGGAGTATTTTAAAATTGGCCACATTCACTTCCTTTTACATTCTTTCTAGTTCGCCGTTAGCGTATTATTTGACAATGTATAAACTCTGCAGTCCAGAAAGCACAAATACGCTTCTTCCCAGAAACAGATTATTTGATCTGCCGTGTGGCTCATTCACATGGCCAGGAATGGAACCAGTAGCAAGACTGATAGAAAATAAGACCATTTCTGATGTGTGCTAACAGCACGCAGCATACCAACTCCATCATATTTTATTTAATTCTTTTATGACCATAGAATTCACAACAGAAGACAAACTCGAGTACCAGTTCAACCCTGTGACATCAGGGGCCCTGCATTTCAAGGTTAAGGCAGCAAATGATGCACACATTGCTCTGACAGCTGGCCCAGCTGAAGGGGATCCAATGTATGAGGTAGGTTATGTCCTGTTTTGTGCTCATTTATTTCTTCTGAGTCCATTCTTTCAAAACGTTTTAGTTCCTGAATTAAGCCAATATACTGGTGCAGTCCATAAATTATCCAAGTTTACTGTGAACTGAAATCTGACATTGAGATCAAAGCAAATCACTTTTTTTTAATCATGATTCTTCATAAATAAAGTTGATACTAGGACATAACATCAAAGTTGTTTGAGGATGAGTAATTGTTTTCTGTTTGTGTAAGTTGAACCCAATGTATGGTGATTGCACTTTGAATGTTCTCAGATTTTTATTGGAGGCTGGGGAAACTCTAAGACTGCTATCAGGCGAAACCGTCAGAAACCAGACAAGGCACTGGCAGACACACCTGACATCTTGAGTGATGCAGAGTATCGTGGCTTCTGGATCCGCTGGACAGGCGGCTCTGTGGCTGTTGGCAAGGAAGGTGAAGTGACCCCTTTTGCGACCTGGGACGACCCTGAACCATTTGGTATTGGCTACTATGGTATTTGCACTGGCTGGGGAGCGTCTGGGTCCTGGCTCATTGAAGGTGAGTGAGAAATGATTACGAGTGAAAACAGTAAAATATGAAAAGTAATATAAATGCTACAGATACAACATATTGTTTTTGTATACTAATGAGGTATTTCACCAAAATCATGTAAAATGAGGAAAATTTGCTTGAGTGTCTTGTCAGAAGTTTCTGATTGTTCAATGTATGTGTGTGGTTGCATAATTATACTGGGAAGGAGTTATAATTACAAATTCACACCTACACCAGTTGATAGAAAAACTCTCACAGTTTGTGCACACCTCACAGAGAATTTATGCGTGCTCCTCGAGCCACGCCAGATGTCGAGATGACAATCCAACTCATCCCAAACTTTGTACAGTGTCCCCCTAGTGATGGAAGTTGTGACAATTGTGTCATTTGATAGAAAACTTGGAGAATCGACTGGTATGAAGTTCTAAGTATGTCGCATTTGTTTACTATATCATTTTGAAAGTATAAAGTCTTTTTGTGCTCATTGTATAAAAAATAGGCAGTGACCTATATTTTGATCTCTTATATTTTAAATGCTGTTAGGAAAGTTTGTTTTTCTGTGGTTTTGGTCATTCTGTGGCCAGTACCTAAGTTGTAACGTGCAGTGCTAATGAAAGGGAAGCCAATGAACACACAGCAAGGATGGAACAGGCTGTGGTAAGAGTTTAAGTCGATATTTCTTTTAGGTATTTGCATGTTGAATTTATATTTGAGTTTGTAGATTTTGTGGTATATGTAACAGAAGCTTTGTGGGCATGCTGCATTCTTAAATCTTGTCTGTATATGTGTGTTTCATTAATTCTCTGTGATTCTGATGAAAATTCATACTGCTGATCCTTATTAAAATACTGATGTATAGGATTGTTTTATTCCCAAAACTTGGATGTGATTTTCCTTAAGTTTAATGAAGATAAGTCATCATAATACACAAATATTTTGTTCACCAGTATTGGGCAGTGTGAATAAAAAAGAAGTGTGTGCGTCTTGTAATAGTATTAACTTATATCAATTCTAACTGTTAGCATTGGCACAAATTTATGGGTAAATCAGGTTTTTCCAGTTTATGCTGGAAAATAATCACACTGGCTCACTGCCAAATATAAGTTTTGGCACGAGATTTTATGTCTTGCGTCTTGCTATTACCCTCAGCTACCTGGTATGTGAACTGTAGGTGCAGTATTATTTTTGCTTCTGTGAAGTGAAATTTTAAGCCAAAAGGAATTTAGTGGAATCAAGTTATTTTTAGACTGTTGGAATACTTGAAGAACAGGAATGCTTTCTCATAAATCCCACTTTATAAAAACAAAAATGGCAAAAGAAACATGTTTGATGATACTAAAACAGATATATATCCAAAAATTTGGCAAAGAAATTGCAGAAAGTAAGTTAAGAAGAAAATACAGAATGTGAAGATGGATATAAAGAAATTCGCTGATAGAAATTATTGCACTGAAAGAATGGGATGAAAGATTCTTAAAATTGACATGTAGGAATGAGTTGCTAGATATGTTTTTTTGTCTTTCTTTATGTTTACATGAAGTTGTGTTGGTTATAAAAAACATCTTGATTTCGTTGGAATTAAAAATCGACCCTTTGCCAGAAGTGATCTCAAGGACTGTTTCTGTGGGGTATGAGCTCAGGTTCCGTCTTGGATGCCACCTTTACCAGCTCCAGCAATGAAACAATACTTTTCTCTGCCAGACACAGATGAGAACAAAGGATTTCAGTACATCTGAACTACAATGGCTAAAACTGTTAAAACAACTGAAGCTGATTTGGTTACAACTTCAGAAAGAAGAAATAATTATAAACAAACTTGAAGTTGAGTCATGGACAGTGTCTGATGTAGGGTACAGCAGAACTTAAATACAATTGCAAAATAATTGTATTAAGTATGGATCTCATCAAAATTCTGCTGTCATGGCCAGGTCCTGTCTATTTGGACATGAGTGCAGTTTTTGGTTTCATTTTCACACAGAAGCTGAAGTGCTCACTCCGCTCTAATTTTGCTCCATTCACTTGCCTTCTTACAGAGAAAGCAGTCCATTCATCAGCTTTTCCCATAATTTTATTAAGTACATACGTTAATGTTTTTGAGATGGTTGTTTTGTATACCTCTGTGACTCTGACCTCAAATCCAGAATCGCAACGTGTAAGATGATCTGCATTTTTGTTTTGCACTCAGAGCTTCTTGTTTTGTACCATGAGTGTCAGCCATTTTTAGCAGTGCATTAATGCTTTTACTCATGTTTGATGCAACCTGGTGAAGAGTTACTGTCACAGACATGGTTTACCAGATGAGGTATTGTTGATTTGTTTGGCATAGGAGAATTCAAAACTGTATCCCTAAACTCATTGTGGTAAGTTACGTAAGAGCGAGATGACGAGGTAGTGCTCAACGATGAACATTTGTTACACTGGTGATAAGACATTGTTGAACTTTGGTGTGAGCAGGTTACAACATTATTTGACCTGTGTGGGCTCTTGCATAGTCACAGCAATATTGTGTTTATTAATCCAGTCGAACTGTATTGAATTGCAACCATCAGTATTTTAATGTGGGTAGCATGACTTATCAGTTATCCCACGCAAAACGTACTTGAATCTAGTTAAATTGTCATCTTCCTAAAGTTGCCATATGCTATTGTTGACTCTGTGCAAAAATTCCTCCTGCAAAAGATGATGAATGGGGGAAATAAAGACATACAAAAATTTGAGATTTGTGAATAAGGATCATGCAGAAGAAACAAAAGAATGCAAATAGTGATGTGGCTGATGTTAATGACTGCTTCAAATGCTCTCCTTAAACTATGTCCGTCTCTTTCTCACACATACTAATTACCTAGGGCTGCCCGGTTAGATATAGGAACAAAAGGTTTAGATTCAGCATAATTACAAGACTGTATTGACTGTAGCAAATTGGGATTTACATCAGAATGAAGTAAGATTGTATGGTTGAGGGCATGATGACTGCAGCTGAACCAAAACTGTGATCATTTAATTTATGTAGTATTTCTTCCACAAAAGCAGTGGTGGTTGAGACTTAGATTCAAGCTTCAAGCAGTGAAGTTACATTTTATGCTCTTACTAATAACATTTTTAGAAGTTCAACTTTAAAAAAACATTGTAGTTGTGGGAATGTTAGAGGAACTTTTTATCTTTACATTCTTTAAAAGATCTTACTGTTTTCTTGAACTGTGCTATCTGAATTATGTAGCTTATCCGCCGCAGTGTTTGATCGCCTTTGTATGTGCCAGGGAAGTGGACATTCCGCCACTTGACTGAAAGTGCCAATACGCGGTTTTGCGCGTTTCAGTGTGAGAAAGAGGGACAGAATATCCTTCTTTAACATTGCTAGTTCATGTAGTCTTCATCATTCTGTAGTACGGCTAAGCTGATCTTGCAAGTGTTTTTATTTTGTGTGAGATTCTTATGATGATGGTAAATTAGTCTGGTTGTGTTACCTTTATCCAGCCTTAACAGTGAAGTTATTTAAACTAGAATGCTCAGATTTTATAATATAATTACCCATGGTTAGTAGTTTCCAAAAACAACCTATTTTGCTTGCCAGTCTTGCTGTTTTAAAAAGGTTACAGTGATGGGAGTTCAGGGGAATTTGACAAATTTGCAAAAGAGGAACAAGGAAATCTTGTGTAACATATTTGACTGTCTACAGATTAGTCATCAAGGAATTGATGAGGTTCTTAAGAACTGACTTTAATACCTCAGAATACAATAAGGTAGTTTGTAAAAAAACCAAGACATTTTTACAACAGTTAATCAACATGACTTGTCTGCTGGCAAGTCAAGAAATGAAATTTTTTCAGGTGATTATGAATGTTATTTGTCTCATAACAGAGGTAACTGTAGGCCAATCTAATTTTCCTTGTTATAAGTTTATTATCCTCTCCTGAGTGATCACCCAGAGCAGGTGGTGTTTCCAAAGGTGCATCATTGGCCATTCAAAACTGTGATTAAAGCTGTCCATGAAATTATATTAAATGACATTTGGACTTCATGTTGGATGAGACTTTTGGTATTCAGGGGATTTCACAGTTAGCCACAATGTTGAAGTACATTAATGATGTTGGAATTCAGGAAAGATGTCTTGGTTTCACTGTTTCTAAGTTTTCTAGCTTAAATGTAATGGGGCATTAATATAAAGTATTTGAGACATATTAACATGTGCCTTGTGTGCATTGCCGTGCAATGCACGTGATATACACTGTTAACAACATTAAATAGAAATATTTTACTTTCTTTAAATGGGATTGCTATGTGAACATTCACCTGAGAGACTTGTGCCTTAACTGAATATCTGAAGAGGAAATTCCCTTCTTTTTCTGCACCACCGCATGTTCTGTTAGTTCTTGCTTGGTGATTGTAACTGATGAACACAGAATTTTGATCCTGGAGTATTTTGGGAGGAATGGACTGCAGATGACAAAGTACTGCAATTGGCTACAAGAAATTTATGAAGACATTTCAGACGCTTGACCTCCTTTTACTCTTTTCTTGTGTTTCATGCTCTGACATTTTGTTTCGTATTTGAAAACAAGAGGTCTGAATATTGTTTTTGTGTGAATAAAAATAATTTGGAAGTTTCCTACTAAATGAACATGATACATGTCTTCCACATCTGTAGAAGTTGTACAGTTATGTGATGCAACTCTAAGAAGCAAAGAGGGTAAAATCTGACATAGTAAATTTTGTAGAGGGAAAGTACAGAACACTTTTTGACAACCTAATTAGCCACTCTTAGTTTGGTGACAATTGATTAATATCTCTTGTCAGTAGTAAAAGCCTTAGTTGCTGACTTGAAGAAACTTAATTTCTGTGGTCAGGTCACTGAAAAGGTGCTGGAAATGGATAGATCAGATTTCCATTTAAAGTAATTGATAAATATCAGTCAAGAATTCCAATATAAATTTTCCTGTGGCTGACTGTTCATACATGGTTGTAGTGTTTGCTCCTCTTGAAATAACTGCGCAATTAAATTATATATATATAAAAAACAAACCACCATTATCAATTGTTAATTATAATAACTACAAATATTGTATTTCTGCTTAGCCTAACTTCTAGATCAGGATTGACCACTGGTGTGTTCTTTTTCTCTTCTTTTCAAAATTCTCTTACTGTTCTGTAATTTTTCAGTTTGTACTAAATAATCAGTTAATTCTACTAGAATTCCCCTCAATTACATAAGCAATAGTTGATGTTAATTGACTTCTATTTTCATATTGAGGGGATGGTGGTTGGCTTAAGACAAATCATGACCTCATACATAGCAGTTGTCACTCACCGAAGACACGTAGCAAGAGACGGCACAGTTTCGGTCTCTGTCCCAAATTCAGGTCTGATAAAAATATTTGAGGGCCTGAATCATAAGAAATAGTTGACTGAAAGACACATTATGCCACTTTTACATGGAATGCACATACTACAGAACTGCATACAAGATACAGTAAGGAATTATTGTTTATATCCTTTGTATATAATCCATCATGTGTTTTGAAATGTAATATTAGTTGTGGATAAGCTACAATGGACATGATTGAATTGGCATAAGATAAGGTAAAATGGGAGGATAATGTGGTGATACTGAAGATACTTCGGGTTCTGTGATGGAAGGAAACAGCCAAATAATTATCCATTGTTGAAGTATGGAGGTGGTTACATCCAAAGATTATTTTTTCTTCCCTTCTCATGAAGAACTGAGGTCTTTGTAAAAGAAGTAGATAAAATAATATTGTTCTGAAAGAGGGGTGCATTTGTATTCAGTTTCCATCTGACTGAAGGAATAGATAGATGCATGTAGCCATGTGACTGGTCTTGTTATCTTGCATTCTGTTGTCTCATTGTGTTTCAACATTTCCTGGTTTCAATTATATCTTCACTTATTCTCTCAGGAGCTAGTTCAATATATTCCCTGGTTCCCTCCAGCCCCAGTTCATCCAGACATGAGAGATACAAAAGCATTTTTAATCAGTGGATCAAGCAGGATCTCACCTGTTTAGCCAGTTTACATTCTCATTGAAAACAAAACATTAGAAATTTCTTTTGCGTTTATATATTTTTTTTTTAAAATATTACATTAGTTGTGTTTCTGCTTCATGTTCAGAATGTTAATCTTATTCTTTGTGTGTCCAGGTTAATTCTATAATGTTAGTTGCTTCCATAAGCATCCTTCTCCACCATTCATAACTTATCAGCTGATTATAAGATGCATGCACCCTTGGGGCCCAATGTTCCTGATTGTATGATGTAAGGTTAATGACCTATGGAGTAGACATTAATTGACATGGACTGCAAACCATAATGGGGCCTAAAATTTCTTACATTCATGAAGTTTTGCCTCTGTTAGAGCAAGAGGTAAGTTGATGCTGAAAAATCCAAACTGGATCTGACATGTGGAACCAAAGACTTTTGGCACACCCTGTCCCTAAATCTCCATTATTGAAATAACTGAATAACAAGGAACTGTACAGTGTATCTCATCACACATATTTAATCGTTAGTCATGCCTTCCCATTTTATTCTTTGGGCTGAATTATTCTTGCTTCTGGCGTGAAATACGGGTGGTTTTGGTAGGTGGTGCTGAGATAACTACGGTGGACAATTTGGAATACAGTTATCGCCCAGTGCCAGAGGGCGCATTACACATTGAGGTGCGTGCTCCCTCCAATGCTCACATTGCTCTCACATCAGCCAATCATGAGACAGAACCAATGTATGAGATTCTGCTTGGAGGTTGGGAGAACACCGCATCTGTAATTCGCTACAATCGCCAGAAACCAGACAAGGTATATAATTTGTGTTACAGTATGTTCTGTTGGAGTCGAACAAAATGAACGCTTACTGCTATCTTTCAGGACTCATCAAGCAAAAGTGAGAGCCATGTTGCATTTATTTGTCACTTTTCAATGTATGCTCTGGCTCTCTTCTGTGCACTGGGCTGTTGTGAATGCAGCAGAAGAAAACAAAATATGCTGCTTTGAGACAAGTTACTGGTTCAGAGGAGGCATTCAGAATGTCCCTGTTGTGCTTATAAACATGCAATACAGTGTGAGAACATGCTCTGGTTTACATGTCAGAGCTGTATGGGGTAAATCCTGGATATTGCTTCCTGAATATTTTCTTTGATGTTATGTAATGCATAGGGATTTATTTAGTGAATTTTGCCTTGCAGACTACTGTACAGTTAAAAATTACATGGCATGATGTCTGGGGAACAGGCTGGCCATAAGACTTCACTGATAACTCTTTTGCCAAATACATCACTTATTGTGGCATGGAGTTAACTGTGTGTCTTTGTTGAGTCCTGTTGAAAGTAACTGTACAGTCTATCTTCCTCCATTAATCCTGGGAAGAACCTGTTCGAAATCACATTAATACGTGTTTCAGAGTGTATCCGTAAAGAAATTGTCGGTTATTTACCTTGCACCGATTCCACGCCAAACATGAACTTTGAAATTATAAAGTAATTCTTCATGAAGGTTGAGGATCAGTATTGATTATTTTGCATGTTCAGACACCCATTAAGTAAAACCATGCTTCTTCATTAAAAAATAATTTTGAGTCAAGCGTACCTTCATCACTGATTGAATAAATCCATTCTAAAAATTTATCCTTGTAGCTGAATTGGTTGCAATGATTGCACTTGTATCATTTTATGAGGATGAATTTTCAGTAATTCTATAGCAGTTCTTGCTGAGGAGACTGAAACATCAGCTTGCTGAGCTAGTTCTGACAGTGATTTTCTTGGTGAATGCTCCAATTTTGCACCGGTATTACGAGTTTTTCTTCAGCCAGTACGTGATGTGTTCTTTTTGTTTTGTTGTCCGATACCAGACTTTAGTTTTGAATTTATTAACCAAGTAATGAATGGTAGAACCTGCAGGAATGTCAACAGTGTTGATATTTTGTTAAATTCTCTACAACATACACAGGCTGAATTACTTATATGTAACTGTCGTAGGTGAGAATGCGTTCTTCTCCTCTGTACTTGCATACAATACCATCTTGGACACTGACCTGCACTTAGCCCAGACATGAGTTGCCAGTAACAGAGTAGCCAGAATGACCACATCTGATAAGATCTGTACAGTCCAAAAACAAAACAATATCCTTATAGAAGCAACTTCTGAGAAGTTATGATTTAAAACATAAAGTCCAGCAGAATAATTATGCTCGTTACAATCAGTGTGGTGCACAGAATAGCAAAGAATGTGTTTGAAAAGTGTGTAAATTGGGGTACTCCATTTCATTGAGATAGTCTTGTGATATTCATATTTGTGTTTGCTGAGTCCTGCATGATGGCAGTTCAAGTAGTGAAATCACACTGACCACGGGCTTATTTTGCGCACATAAAGGTGCGGGTAGACACACCTGGGCTGTTGACCAACAGTGACTACAGTCGCTTCTTCATAGAATGGAAAAATGGTCACTTGAAGGTGAAGAAGAATGGTTCTGTGCTGATAGAGTGGCAGGATCCCAGCCCATTTGGCATTTCGCACTTTGGTGTGCGAACAGCGTGGGGTGCTCAGGGACACTGGAGGGTCAAAACACTTCACCCTAGTGCAGCGCCAGGTACACAGCAATCTAACACAGCACTAACTTTGTATTACACTAATTGTTTTGCAGAGAAACATTGAATGAATACATGATGTATTGATGTTAATGTAAGATGATTATCAAATGAGGTATGAAATTGATCATGCATGATCTTAAAAGGATGGGGTTATCAAATAGCAAGGAATTGCCTCAGCATCACCAAACGCCATGTTGTTGCTTTTGCTTCTGCTTCAGCTTCATATTTATATTTTGGAGAACACACATTCACATCACGTCCCATAGACCAATGGTGTTAGTCATTCTGTGCAAGTGCTATAGTATGCCACAACAACATCCTTAATTAATTGTAGTTAAACATAATGATATTTCGCATTTTATAGTGTTTAACCTATGCGGTTAAGGAAGTGTATGGTTGCTGTTTGGCTTTGTTAGAATCAGAGTAATAACACAAGCACTTAGAGAGCTTGGTGCTTTGTGTGCTTATTGGGGTAGCATTCATCAGCCGCTCCTTTTATTCTTTCATCTCTCATTTGCACTGTTCTTTATTGTGCTGTTGCTGTGTAGTATGATTCAGTGTGGCAATGGTGAAGTATTTGAAAAATTAAACAAGCAGTTTAGCTCTAAGGTTGTTTTCCCCAATCTGGGCTGCCCATAGGATGAAACAATTATTTTAATCCTCAAAAGGTTGGGTGATAATGGTCAAAGAAGTGGTGTCCAGTTTAATTTTGTAGAAGAGTTTGTGAAACTCTGCTTTAGGGGAATATGTCTGACTTTGTATGTTAGATGTTCAAAGTTTAAATCAATTCTTCCAAGAGATTTCTCATTCCTCTGTTCTCCTTTCTGTGTGTGTGCATATGCACATGAGCACATGCACACCCCCACCCTAATGTTACTGCTGATAGATTGTGGTAGTTCAGTAATTAAAATGATGGTGTGTTGTTGACCATCATGGTTATACCTTAAGAGCAGTGTCTTTTATGACATCTTTATTGTTATCATAAATTTATTTTTCATGTGCTCTTCTACATTCCTCTGTTTCCTATTCATTTATCTCTTTCCATTTCTTTTGTATTTTTATTTCTTCTTTCATTATTCTTTTCCACTCAAATTTCCTCATCTTTATTTTTATTTTCTTTTAAATACATCAGAGTATTCTTGAACTCGGTGTTCCACTACAAAGCACACAACTTCAAGTGTGTTTGAAAAGTCGTGGTTCATGTGTACTCTAGGAGCTTGACTTTAGTACATTGTGTGACAGTAATGTTTTTATATTAATGTTTCGAGATAGTGGTGTCTGACTGGTGGGTTTTTTTTTGGTCTGCAGAAACAGAACGAAACATTCATATTTTATTTGATATGAACAGAGAGCTAAATATCTGTTCATGACTGACTAGCTAATTAACTAACTAACTCCCTGGTAGCAGAACCTCCATAACTATTCATGACTCAATCAAATTTATGAATCTGATCACTGTGAAACTAAGAGTAGAGTAAATCAGAAAATGCATGTTACAGTTTAGCTCAGGATCCTTTATTTTTGTATTATTTTAGAAAAATAATTGTTTAAAAGTGTACAAATATAGTTCTGTATGTTGTTTTATACAAATACAAAACATGGCCACTGTGAGAGAAGAACATAACATTTGAAAACAAAGGTACTGAGGAAGATATGTGAACCTAATAAAGATTGAATAATTACAGTGGAGAAATGAGATGACAAGGAGCATCAGTTAATGTTCATATTTTATTAAAGCAAATGCAAAGAGAAATGGGTAAGGTTAGTTGAGAAGTATAAAGATGAAACATACAAATTAATGAGTAGCAAGAATGGGAGGGAGTGGATATAGTCTGTCAGAGGGGAGAGGAAAAAAAAAAACAACTCTAAGGTGAATGTAAATGTAGGCAGAAACTAGACAATAAGACAAGGAGGTCATGTCTTCCTTACTCTGAAAATTGTAAGCACCAATGTCAGTTTACAGTCAGTACTCTTATTGCAGAAGCAGTTAAATCCAGAAGGATGAGATTGATAGGACATGTAGCACACATATAGCAGACAAGAAAAAACTTTTACTGTCAAGATAATGCAGCTTAATGTGTTATTAAGCTGCTTATGCATAATATTGTCACTATACTGTTAACCAAAGAGCTGTAGTGCGGCCGGTAGCCATGAAATCATGAATTATGGGGTTTAAATCTTGTAATGGCAATAGATTACTTGAGAAACCAAAATATAAGTGTTAAAATGGTTTATTTAAATGTGGTGACGTGAGCTGCATTAACCTGACTGATGGACCAGTGAATTCTATAAAAGTGGAATTTTTTGACATCTAAATTGAGAAAAGCTCATATACTGGAGTTGAGATCCATCAGAACTATAGTCACCGTGTTTTCAGCAAGTCAGCCTGGCTGGAATCTACCCACTGCACCCCCATCTGGGGGTGCAGCCTGCTGGGTGGATGCTCGAGGAAGTGAAATACCCGCGAATGCTGTACCTGGAGGCTTTGACAATGAGCAGCTGTATGTGGGACGAGCAAACCACGAGGGTGCCCTGATCCCTGGAAAGATTGTGCCTTCTCATGGAGTATGCTATATAGCATGGGGAGGACAGGAGCATGGGAAGGAGGAATATCAGGTTAGTCTGTACAGTTGCAGGGAGAATTTGTTGTCCGCTAATCCTATTGTACAGGTCTCTTGAAATTTGATTATTTCTCATGTGACCAAGACATTTAAAAAGTTCCTTTATGTGTTCACAGAAGTCAGAAATTAGACTCTGTTCTGAGCCAGATGACAGTATTTTGTTGAGATTCACATTTAGGTGATGTTTACGCCCTAGCATGATTGAAGAACAACATATGGGCCTTTCCATGTCTGTCTGTCAGTCAGTCAAGTCAAGTCAAGCAAGCTTCTCCTATAGGGGGAGGCAAAGTGCATGACTGGGGGTCATTGTTGTGTAACATTGGGAACTTTTGGCCTCCACTTTTTAAACACATTGTTGTGCAACAATGCATTTTTATCACATTTGTGTAAGAATGTCCTTAGGAGCAATAATGGCCTTGGACCACGGTAATATAATGACCTACATGACACCTTTGGAATGTTGCTATACTCCAGGAAGTACACATTTGTAGTCAAGTAAAATCATCCTCCCATCTGTACCTCTGTTTCCAAAGTGATATCTCCTGTTGTTTCCTGTCCAGAATTCTGTATGCATACCCATTTTCTCATTTGTGATAAATGTCCTGCCCATCTTGTCACTCTTTGTTTATTTCTCTAACAGATTAGCCGAATAGTACAAATATGTAGCTTCATTGTCTCTTCACTTCCCCGTTAATACCACTTGGGCAAATCCAGATATATTCCTCTACTCTCTATTCTGAAATTCCTTCAGTGTCCATGGTGAATGATCAGATTTTACAGTAACTACCTGTTTATCTATCATCTATTTACATTCAAATTTCAGTATACTTTTCAGCCTCCTAAACATCTTCCTTCCAAGAGGTTTTTTTATAAAATTTTTAATGCATTTCTTGTTCTCTGCATTTGAGCACTCAGCACATCATAACCTCATCCCTGCTCTCCCTAATGAAAAATCAAATTCAAAATTTTGTTTTGAACAAACAAATTATCTTACAAAAATTATATTAGTTTCAGTTGAAACCATGTTTAAAAATGTGAACAGCGTCTTGAGGTGGAGCTCTATTTCTACCTGTAGCTGCCATGGATCTCTTTTGTTCAATTTGGAAATCCTGCCTTACTTGGGAAATATGAGAGAAATTGTTATGTAGTAAAGAATGCCTGTGTTTCTTCTAGGTGCTGACAGGGTGTGAGGCTGCATGGCTGCCATCTTCTGGTGGACAGTTGCCTGAAGGAGCTCTGCCATCTGGTGAGACAGAAGACGGCGAGCCCCTGTTTGTGGGTCGAGCATCTCACGAGGGAACCTTGACAGTGGGCAAGGTATGAATGTGGACTGGCACTTGGCCTGCTATCCAGGGTATATTTCCCCAAGGGTTGAGCACTGGTCACCGAACTTATCACTATCTAGTTTAGAGTACACGGAAATGACTTCTAACTCTCCTGCACTCCCGCATTGTGCAGTGCTTAGGCAGAGTCACAGTTGGCATTGCTATAGAATAATTGTGTCGTTAAATACTACTTCATGACACATTTCTTATATCCTCTTAACATTTCAACTGCTACTATAATTTGAAAGCTCTATCACAGATAGTGTTAATTTTACCCTAAAAAATCACAGTGTACAGACAAAGTTGTTCCGTGCTTCATTAAATTATAGTACATCACATATAGCAGAGCAATGGATTGAGTTCTAACCACCCTATTCTTATGTAACATTGAGAAACACCAAGCTGAGACACATATAGTTTCACACAAGTACAAAAAAGTAGAACCTGCCAACTTTTTTTCACATGTTTTTTTAAAAAAACTGTCAGATGTTAGAAACAAACCTAACAATAGATACAATAAAGTTTGGTCCACATCACCACCAGAACAACAACAACAACAACAACAACAACAACAAAAATAATCTTCTTCACATGATTAGGTGACATCTGAAATCATTTCCCCCCCCCCTCAGGCAATTGCTGGGATTATAGACCTACCTTCCCAGTAATTATTCATGAAGTTACATAACCTCTGCAATTGATACAGGATGTATCTTCAGTAGTAGAAATTCTGTTGATATTTAACCTCACCACCAAAAAAAGCCCACTAATGACTGGATGCTATTCCTTCGTCAATACATTTCAATTCACAACCTCACAAACATTCATTTTAATATTATGCTCCTGTTATAAACAGTAATCATTTTCAATGAAAGTGTTGTGTGAATTAATTTCTTGTCGTGATTTGATCACTTATAATGAAGAGTATGTTCTGCCTTTCATTGTGTCTAAGAACAACTGGAACAGTCCATGGTAAACATTGTCAGTTATCTGAGCTCAAATTCTGATAACATAAGAGTTACATAATGGAACCCTTCCTCCTGTCCGTGGCATAACAGCCCTATGAGGGCTAAAGCCGACTAACACATTCACATGCCTAAGCAGAGGTGAAGTCCCATGCATCGGTCGAAAATCTTATGAGAAATTTCTTTCCCCGAGACTCGAACCAGCGCGCATTCTGTATCACCGGTCCAAAGCATGATACCTCAGACCGCGCGGCTACCGCGTGGAACCCTTCTTCCTGTCACCTGCTAGTATATCTTCTATTCTTGTCTTTCTGTGTTTCCTTCTTTTATGTCGTTTTGTTGGTTGATTGTTTCTTTTTTCCTGTCATGCTCATGGTGCCCAAAGGGAGGTTGAAGATTTTTATAACATTTCTCAGTCTGACCCAGTGTTGATGCTTTGTTTCAGGTACAGCGAAGTCATAATGTATGCTACATTCCATATGGTGGTCAGGAACTGGCCTACCCTGAGTATGAGGTGCTTGTTGCCAAATAATGGCCTCACCACAAGATAGTTGTGGGTTCCTTTGCCACTTCTGTGTAACCACAGTGATGTTTCCATATTGTTTCTGGAAAGGAGTTCTCCCTAAATAGCAGCCTATGGAATAAGATACTCTTCTGAATATTTGTAGAACATTGAACATAAACTCATGAAAGTGTGGATGATGTGGTTGTCTCTGCAGTGGAAGTTGTCAGAGGAACCCATATCCTTGTTTCCTCAATATGACATTAATTATGGGCCTTTATTGCATCTCTGAAGCTTGTTGTTAATCAGAATAATGGCAAATTAAAATTAATGGGATTGAACCTTGTTAATAACATATGCAGCTATTTTTAGATATATATTGTGTATTTTATTATATGTATTGAAAATAGATTGAAATGAAGCCCTTATCTCTCTTGTGTTGTATTTTATACCAACACTAATTAAAATGTTTTGCTTTTGTTATATTTATATATTTTCTTCAGACTGTAATAAAGTATAAGCTAATATGAATATACATGCAAATATTAATGGTGTAGTATATTTCTTGAAAAGTTTGTATCCCAGCAGGTCAACATATTCACTGAAGGTGACTG